GTTGTTTAATGTAGATGTCCTCCTTCTGTCCATGTATTGCTTCCAGCTTTTCCATGATGTACTGCAGTTGTTTAATGTAGATGTCCTCCTTCTGTCCATGTATTGCTTCCAGCTTTTCCACGATGTGCTGCAGTTGTTTAATGTAGATGTCCTCCTTTTGTCCATGTATTGCTTCCAGCTTTGCCACGCCACGATGTACTGCAGTTGTTTAATGTAGATGTCCTCCTTCTGTCCATGTATTGCTTCCAGCTTTGCCACGCCACGATGTACTGCAGTTGTTTAATGTAGATGTCGTCCTTCTGTCCATGTATTGCTTCCAGCTAACCCTAACCACTAACATCATGTTAATAACAGTGACATCTTATTATGCAGTTTAAAGTATCTAGGACTGGTATTTTACACCACAGAGCACCAGGTATTATTTATTTTCCTCATCGCTGTGATCCTTTTTTTATTTTGGTTCACGACGCATTGTTAAATCCACTGTGGGCGAGGATATTATAGGGATTAAAGAGATTTCACGTTAAAAAAATGTGTTGGAGTTTATATGTGGGAGCTTAAGGGATATTAACAGGTTTAATATACACAGGGAAATCCCCAGTGAGTTGGTTTGTGATACGTTAAATCAGTGGTCCCAGTTAGCTAAGACATTTTTGTGTGTAATGATGTCACGGCCACCTTAAATGTTTACCAGAAGAAAAACACTGTTAGATTAGTGCTCCGTTAAGTGCTTGTTATCCGGAGAAGCCCGATGTGCCAATGACGAATTGAGGGTCCAACACTTTTTGTGTCCCAGTGACTCACTATGCGTGCTTGGGTATTATTCTCATGTACCAGTCAACATGTAGTGTTTGTTGTACACCTAATATTTAAAGAGGGATTCTGAAGAACTCTGGCAACACATTTGTTTCTTTCAGGGGTTGTATATTTTACCGCTGTAGAATTAGTATACCCTTGAATTTAATTGTGCCATTTGTTACTCCCTCGAACATTAGGTAGGGCCTCGTGGGACCGAACGTGTTAACCCAGTACTTGTATCCAATCAATCTGTGTGGTGCATATGATAATGTGTAATAACATAGCGAGACGGCCATGTCAACTTTAAAGTTCGGACTGGAGTGATCAGTTTGTTTAAAGTCGTAGGTGAAGTTTAATGATGTTTTCAATGGGTTAAACTCACAAGAACATGGCCGTGACTGAACTTAAGCAATGAGTATCTGCTCTCTTTTTCGCGGAGTGGAAAGGGCGTTTTGTGCACGGTCGCCGTGGAGCGCAGCCTCACAAGAGTCATTCTCTTTGCGAGACGCCCACCCTGCAGGAATACAGCTGTTTGATCTGACGGGTGAGCTCAGCTGCCAGTTTGTAAAATGTGAAGTGTCACTGACATATTTTAGAAATGAATACGAAATTAGTTTTGATTTTTAATGCATAATTTTCACTTAAAAAATTTTGCCAAGCTGTTTACTGGCCGAACGCTGGGTTTTCAGACACAGGTTCGAATCATAGGCACGGGATAAAAAGTGGGGGAGGGGGGGGGGGGGGGGTTAAATCCTAACATGCACAGGCCGTGACGACAAAACTAGCCAGGCGGCCCCAAATCCTCAGGCTCAAGGACCCTCCTTTCCCCTTCCCCATTTTTTCACCGTAAAAGTTGTAAACACAGACAGTAATGCATATTTGTATCCTCATGTACATGTTATGAAAAAAGCTGTAGGCGTGAAAGATCACCTGGAAGGACAACTGGCAAGGGACCGAGTGGCTGTGATAAGTGGTCTGCTGCTACATAACCATAAATATAAGGCATCACCAGATGAACCAGTTGTTGAGCACCACACACCCTCAGTCGCAACAAAAACAGGTTAGTCACCCAAGCCTGGCTAGTTTATCCGTGTCCCGGCACGTGTGGAACATTGATTGATCGATCACTTGAAATACCTGAACACTCAGCTGCCTCACAGTCCATGAACACTTCATGTCGGGCCGTTTTATTGGACGTGATCCGTCATCGAGACTGAGGGACCCGGAACCTGGGATTGGGAGGGGGGGGGGGGGCTTAGCTACATTGAACCCCACGGCCCCAGAAAGAGAGGTCCTTCCCTCTCCCCAGTTTGTAAGATACAATGCTGCCCCTACCCCCCACCCCTCATCTTCCAATCAGGTATAGGAGCCGTCTTGGTAAGTTTCGCGTTTTCATTATATATACATTATTTCAGTTATATTTTTTTATATTTACAATTACTCAAATTATTGTTATTATTGTTATTATAATAATTAAAAACTCATTAAACAAAGCTTATGCCCCTGCCAGGGGCCCAGGGCCACCCTGCCTCTCATGTTTCCTTTATGTCGGCGCCCCATATGGAGATGATCCATATGTTACTCTGATGATCATTGATTAAAGATAACACCGCAAAGAATGCTGGGTTATCGACTGTTTTGTTCGTTGCTTTGAATGGCAGAATTAATCAATTTATCGCTGTTGCGTTCACTGTATTTTTTTTTTTTTTCTTCTTTTTATAATAGAGTGGATAACAGTTAAGTAGTTTGCTTCGGCTGTCAACTGTCAGTTCATTTTTAATTCATAGTGTAAACGGGTCCCCCACCCCTCGACCTGCTGCTATTGTCAACTCGAACTCTTTAGCTTTGACGCCTCTAGCAACTGAAATGCACATTTACTGCGTGCACATATTTCTCTGCCCTCAGAAAAATAGGAAAAGTATAGGAATTTGGGATCACTGAATCCAAATCACTTGCCAGAATGGCAGACTTGGGAATTAAGATCGGCATAGCAAAACACGAGATCCACACCAGACACACCCGAATATTTGTTAATCAACATAGAACTGGTACTGTTAGCCATCGGACGTTGGGGTTCATACTGAGGGGAGGATCTGAGCACCTGTCTGGAGTGCAATGATGATAACCCAACTGGCTAACTAACTAACTAACTAACTAACTAACTAACTAACTAACTAACTAACTAACTAACTAACTAACTAACTAACTAACTAACTAACTAACTAACTAACTAACTAACTAACTAACTAACTAACTAACTAACTAACGAACCAACGAACCAACCGACCGACCGACCGACCGACCGACCGACCGACCGACCGACCGACCGACCGACCGACCGACCGACCGACCGACCGACCGACCGACCGACTGACTGACTGACTGACCGACTGACTGACTGACTGACTGACTGACTGACTGACTGACTAACTAACTAACTAACCAACCAACCAACCAACCGACCGACCGACCGACCGACCGACCGACCGACCGACCGACCGACCGACCGACCGACCGACCGACCGACCGACCGACCGACCGACCGACCGACTGACTGACTGACTGACTGACTGACTGACTGACTGACTAACTAACTAACTAACTTATTAACTAACTAACTAACTAACATATTTCTGGATTCTTTCTTGACTAATTATTTGTTCACCGGGTTTTCAATTGCAACAATGAGGGACATTTCATTTAATTTGCACTGACACAGGAACGGAGCAAGTATGAGGGAAACCCGATAGCGGGGCAGTTAAAACCTCAGCAAAGACTACGACTTAGACTCTTTAAATGCCAGCAACAATGGAGAAACATTGAAAGCTCTGTCTGTCTGTCTGTCTGTCTGTCTGTCTGTCTGTCTGTCTGTCTGTCTGTCTGTCTGTCTGTCTGTCTGTCTGTCTGTCTGTCTGTCTGTCTGTCTGTCTGTCTGTCTGCCTGCCTGCCTGCCTGCCTGCCTGCCTGCCTGCCTGCCTGTCTGTCTGTCTGCCTGCCTGCCTGTCTGTCTGTCAAATCACATTTGGCGTTGGTATTCATGACCACATTCTTCTCTCTTGTGTACTTTCAGTGTCATGTCGTCCCCATGTGGGATGCAGTTTTTTTTATTTGAAGCCCCACCCTGGCTTCTGCCGGGGGCCCTGAATATGACCGGGGCATAGATATTCCCTAGCCATAGATATGCCCTAGCCATAGATTTGATATAACGGCTAAAAAGGGTTTGTGGGACTTTTCCACGGGTGATTCTCATTCGCTTGGTGGCACTTTGTGTCACAGGATGTTTATCGCTTATGTGATGTCCTGGTGGGGTACAACTACCTACCTACCTCGAGGAATTTCAGTCATTACTGACGCCAGATTATATCCAAACAATGCTACCAAACTGTTAAATATCCTTTCTCTTGTTCTTTCCCTCCCTTTCTTCCATTCCAAGAACACTTATCGGAATTTTAGTTTAAAAAAAAAAAACAACAACACTATGAAAACCGTTATGTTCTCTGCCCGAACTAATCTTAGCTTTTTTGTTTTTGTTATATCATCAACTCCATCACCATAACTGTATTGTGCCCTAAACGTTATGATTCACTCCCAGTCTATGCCGCAATATTCTGCTCTATCGCGTGCGGCAACTTCGATATGATGGATAGAGTCCAGTCCAGTATCTTTGGCCTCTCTCAACGGCGTTCTTATTAGAGTTTCTACCCTTTGGGATGATACCTGAAATTTTGACTAATGGGAATATCAAATCTCAATCTGGATGGCAAGCCAACATGGCAAATCCCAGATGGCTCCAAAATAGCACCTGTACAGAATAACAGCCTTGTGTAATCTGCGATCTCTGCATGTGAGGAATTTACCAAAATTATATGTTCTAAGCATGAACTTACAATCAGGGAACCAATCAAGTGCCGTCTGCGTAAAGAAGGTTGATCTCCAACATGCTGTTTGTTGATATCGATGTACAACATCCCATGATGTTAGCCTACAACTTGTGTCTCTGTTTGCCCCAGGCTCGCTTTCCCCTTTCCCTCCAGTATGGTGTTTCTAAAAGTGTTGTCTTTTATTTTAATATGGCTGAAACATTTCAGTTTGCAAAAAAAAAAAAAAAAAAAAATTTATCAGCAACTCTTTTCATATGAATAAGAACTAACAGCTTTAGTGTGATTGTTGCCATACAAGTATGCCTGTTTGGTCTCTTGCAGAATCCACACATTCCGATTCCAGCTCGTCTTCGTGGAAATTCTGGCGCCGTCGTCTGTCTACAAGGAGCCGACATGACAGCAACACCAAATACCTGGGAGCCAAGGACAGACCGGAGATTACTTTACTGGAGAAGTCTGATCTATCTGAGGTGAGAAATAGTTAGAATAAGTTCGGTAACCTAGCATGACGTCTCTTGGACATGAATATTAACATTTTCAGACAGCTACTGCTAGGACCCAGATCAAGTACATCATCATCATCATCAATTGAGTCTAGCTTTCGAGACAAGATGATGTTTAAAAGCCAGTTTTCTGTGTGTTCAGATCTTTTAGAATTAACTCACGTCGATCTTCATGATCATCATAGTCCACGTCCTCACCCACACAGGACTGTTGCAGCCGTTCTGGTGCCCAATATATAACTTTTTTTGAGGATCTTTCTTGTTGATCTGACGCCCAGGATAAGATGAAAAAAACAAAAACATCTAAGGATAGCATAGTCAATCTGAGCCCTGAGGATAAAACCGATCTATTAAAGTGTAGATTAAAAAAAGTCTTCCTGTATCATAGAATGCAGTCTCTTTCTGCAATTCTTCAGTGTCCTTGTCATCTTGTGTTGGTCCTTGTGTCTGCCCACATCCGTCTGTATCGTGTTTATATTTGGACTGCCATACAATGATGTCAAACTCTCGACCTTTCCTGTCTCCCTCTGTCTCTTGTCCCCTGCCACTTTTGTGATGTCAAAGACTGACCTTGAATGCCAGGTCGACCTAGTCAAAAATGGGTATCAGTTAATGTCCTGGGAAGTAAAGGTGACCTGGCGTGATGTTTTCCAAATCGCCTGTTGAATGCTGCTTGGTCTCTATAAATATAGGTTTAGTGTATCACATGCCTGGTAAGCTTAAAGGCGTGAAAAGACCTTTCACTGGTTAACGTTACCTTTCACTGGCTCTTTGGCCTACATATCTTTCCTCTAAAAGTTTTTTTTTTGTTGATGCTTATGTAAAGTAAATTGTCAATGTTACTATGTGCATTTATATTAGACAAAAACCTATTTTTGTACAGTCATACTAGGACCTGTCATCTGTTGTCATCTGTTGTCATCTGAGATTCTTGCTATTAAATATAAATGTCTAATTTTTTTAACTCGTAAACTTCCAATGATTATTACAGCAAAAATGGCTAATTTGAGCTAAAGTGCAAAGTTTTCAAGAGAGGCAATGAAGAAGTGACCACCCTATCTCCTGCCATGACATGTACCAGCATTCTTTGTTTGGTGCTATGGCAAATACCTGGTTCATAAAACTAATTTAAGGAGTCCGAGATATAATTTCTGGTGTGATGCTGACCACATCACCCACCAGGTGACGATTGATCTTTAAAATATAGGTCTAGCCCTATGTGACCAACATGCCTGTAGCTGGGGACAAGTTCTTTAAATTTTTTACTTTTATGATATCACTTGATTTAATTGTCTGCTTAACCAGGGATAGGGAAAGAAAGTCTTTTCTTCCGTCCTGTACTTCATCTTGGTCTCCAACACTGCCCTATCTGTAGACTTGGCGGAAATAGAATCTAAAACCCTATATTTAATATCCCATCTTCTTTACATCTTTGTCTCCACCACTGCCGTATCTTTATTCATTGCTCTAAAGTGCACCCCTCTGTAATACTAACAGCAGTATTTAACAATGTGGGCAAAAAGATTCTCTGAAAATCAAATAGATATGTAGTTTCAGGTATATACCAGCAAAATATATTTTTTTTAGATGACATTTTCAAGGAAATTTATAGGACAGAAATATTCAAAGGGATATAACTGCAGTGAAAATTTACTTTTACTGGTTGTCACAATAAATAAAGAAATGCACAATAACGTGAGCTGCCAATGTGACTGTTAAATTTAACTTTCTAGTAATAATGGGAAATGAAAATATTACCTGTGTATTGATCACGGTTTGGGAGGAGTTAACACTTTATTTATAATAAACACACCAAATACAGAAAGGGTTTATGATTTATAGTATACATTTACAAAAGTCCTCCTTTACCATATGCAGTCACACTACTAATACACAGTTTCGTCCTTTTCAGGACGAAATTTTTTGTTATTTGAAGCCCCACCCTGGCTTTTGCCAGGGGCCGCAATATAGGCAGGCCATAAATATGGCCAATTGTCTGAACGCGGTTTCTGGGACCTCTCCATGGCGATCCTCATCCGCATGGTGGCACTTTGTGTCATCGGGTGTTTATCGCTTGTGTGATGTCCTAGTGGGGTAGAAAGTCAGTCAGTCAGTCATATGCAGTCACAATATAGATCGCCTTGTGGGATGCAATTTGTTGTTATTTTGAAGCCCCACCCTGGCTTTTGCCGGGGGCTCTGAATGTATTCAGGACATAGATATGGCTTAATGGCTGAAAGGAGTTTCTGGGACCCCTCCACTGGTCTCATCCGCATGGTGGCACTTTGTGTCACTGGGTGTTTATCGCTTGTGTAATGTCCTGGTGGGATACAACTACCAACTAGAATGAGGTCTCTTTCTGTAATTCTTTTTTTTTCTTCGTTCATCCAAAAATGTCAATGCCTTGTGCTCGTTTACATCATGGCTGCAATATTTGAGCCTTTCAGACTACACATTCAACTTCTGCCGGCATTTTCGGACCCCGTTAGACTTCCTGGTGAACTTTTTGTAATTCTAATCTTCATAAATTATCATTCATTCTTCAGTATGATTGTATGGGGTGATTCTTCAGTATGATTGTATGGGGTTATTCTTCAGTATGATTGGATGGGGTGATTCTTCAGTCTGATTGTATGGGGTGATTCTTCAGTATGATTGTATGGGGTGATTCTTCAGTATGATTGTATGGGGTGATTCTTCAGTATGATTGGATGGGGTGATTCTTCAGTATGGTTGTATGGGGTGATTCTTCAGTACGATTGTATGGGGTGATTCTTCAGTATGATTGTATGGGGTGATTCTTCAGTATGGTTTTATGGGGTGATTCTTCAGTATGATTGTATGGGGTGATTCTTCAGTATGGTTGTATGGGGTGATTCTTCAGTATGATTGTATGGGGTGATTCTTCAGTATGGTTGTATGGGGTGATTCTTCAGTATGATTGTATGGGGTGATTCTTCAGTATGATTGTATGGGGTGATTCTTCAGTATGATTGTATGGGGTGATTCTTCAGTACGATTGTATGGGGTGATTCTTCAGTATGATTGTATGGGGTGATTCTTCAGTATGATTGTATGTGGTGATTCTTCAGTATGGTTGGATGGGGTGATTCTTCAGTTTGATTGGATGGGGTGATTCTTCAGTATGATTGTATGGTGCACAGGAGACGTTTGGAAATGAGAGGGGCCCAGAAGTTTTAACTAACTGGGAAACACTGGCCTAGATTATGTGAAGACATGACACTATTGCATCACTTGACACCTGCCAGTGATGTCAGCTTGGGCTACTGTCATATCACTGTTCAGTTGTCAGGCATCAATTAGGAACTATATTATTTTGTCACAGATAAAATGGCATAAATGAAGAAAACAGGATCCCACCATTTCACACACAGCAGTCTACTAAAAGCTTGTTTGGTTTAAGTTCAGCAAGGATATTTGTTGCAGCCAAGTTTTTACTTAATATTTGATTATTGTGGTGTGGATACACAATGAAGTTATATTCTGTTAAATAAGATGCTGAAACCGGATGCAGAGGTGCTGACCCACACAAGGTAGTAGACTGGGACCAGGACTGACCTGCTCAAGACCTATCCACACCTCAATTTGGTCATCCTAGAAACAGACTCCCATAGGTCCTGGCAAACATAGATAGGATTGATATTTCCTTCAAAGTTGGAGTGTGTCTGCCTGAGAGGCCAGAAACCAACAGTCAGAACATAACTAGGCCACATAGTAAAACAGATGTGATGCAGCATTCAGGTCCTGGAACAGAAACAAAGTCCTGAAGTGGATCAACAGTCAGGATTTCCTACCCGAGTTTTTCAGCGATTGAATATGAAGATAGAGAAAAAGATGCTGAAACAAGCTTGGATCAGGATAACCCTGTTGTTAAGATGAAGCAGTGTGCATCCATCAAAGGTTTAAATTTAAGAGTTTTCTCGCTGTAGAAACTCATTTGTAATTATCCTTGCTTTGGTTAGGTCATTTTAGAACATAAAGCTTGATTATATTCACAATGTAATTTCCCTCTTGTAAAATTTGTTCAGGTCATCAGACAGTTCCAGACGTACATAATTAATCTCTCTCAGATAGGCTTTCTTTGTTGTGTCCTTCTCAAGGCACCTTAATCTTTGACCTCATGCCGTTAATAACGAACTACTGTGTACAAGACTTTCAACCAACATGGAGCCAGCAATCTCACAGCAAGGCTTCTCTTGCAAGACTCCTTAAACTAAATTGTCAAATGCATTTTTTATCTTGCCGTGTGGGTTCTGGGGCCCCATTGTGCGAAAAACAAGAATAGACCTACTGCCCCCCTCCCCCCCCCCCCCAATAAACATGTTGTAAAAGTCGGTTAATTGGGGATTTCCTTCTAAGTTAGAATGCTTTCTGCCTGAGAGGCAAGGAACTAACAGTCTGTATACAAATAACTCAGATCTGTAAAAGGGATGTGCACGCAGCACTCAGGTTATGGAAGAAGTCCAAAGTCCAGAGATGGATGAACAATGAGAACTTTATGCTGCAGTTGACAGCTGGTGAACACGAAAATGATGAGAAGAAGAAACAGATTATTTATCAGTGTTAGTATTCTCCATTTCTGATGGGTATATAATGGTTTAGTGAGTCTCTATTTCTGATGGGTATATAATGGTTTAGTGAGTCTCCATTTCTGATGGGTATATAATGGTTTAGTGAGTCTCTATTTCTGATGGGTATATAATGGTTTAGTGAGTCTCTATTTCTGATGGGTATATAATGGTTTAGTGAGTCTCCATTTCTGATGGGTATATAATGGTTTAGTGAGTCTCCATTTCTGATGGGTATATAATGGTTTAGTGAGTCTCTATTTCTGATGGGTATATAATGGTTTAGCGAGTCTCTATTTCTGATGGGTATATAATGGTTTAGTGAGTCTCTATTTCTGATGGGTATATAATGGTTTAGTGAGTCTCTATTTCTGATGGGTATATAATGGTTTAGTGAGTCTCCATTTCTGATGGGTATATAATGGTTTAGTGAGTCTCCATTTCTGATGGGTATATAATGGTTTAGTGAGTCTCTATTTCTGATGGGTATATAATGGTTTAGTGAGTCTCCATTTCTGATGGGTATATAATGGTTTAGTGAGTCTCCATTTCTGATGGGTATATAATGGTTTAGTGAGTCTCTATTTCTGATGGGTATATAATGGTTTAGTGAGTCTCTATTTCTGATGGGTATATAATGGTTTAGTGAGTCTCTATTTCTGATGGGTATATAATGGTTTAGTGAGTCTCTATTTCTGATGGGTATATAATGGTTTAGTGAGTCTCTATTTCTGATGGGTATATAATGGTTTAGTGAGTCTCTATTTCTGATGGGTATATAATGGTTTAGTGAGTCTCTATTTCTGATGGGTAAATAATGGTTTAGTGAGTCTCTATTTCTGATGGGTATATAATGGTTTAGTGAGTCTCTATTTCTGATGGGTATATAATGGTTTAGTGAGTCTCCATTTCTGATGGGTATATAATGGTTTAGTGAGTCTCTATTTCTGATGGGTATATAATGGTTTAGCAAGTTTCCATGGCAAACTGGTTGAGCCATGTGGCTGACTGTGTAAAGTTAGCATATTTGGAACTGAGAGGTGTGGTGCTGGTGGTTACTGAATCAGGCCACAGTGGGAATGACTAGTACACAGTAACTGCTTGATGCTTGATTAGATGTCCTTTGTAATGATAGTAGCACAAGGGGTGGTTCACATGGCAAAATTTGCCACTGGAGTCTGAAGAGTCAGGTATTTATTTATTGTAGGTCGTAGCTTAATAAGGTGGAATGAGCATTTCCCTTACACATCATATTCACTTTCCTGACTGTTCCTAGATAATTATGAAAATGATCATTTCTCATCTAGTGAGGCTGGATTGCGAAAATCTTTACTGGCAATAAAAAAAAAAAATTTCACCACAGGGCTACTGCTATAGTAAGCATGTAAAAGTCTTCTTCAGGGGGTCTCCATGGCACAGAGGTCAAACCATTCCTGATGGTCCTGATTTGTTCTCCTTTACTATATTGTTAGTATCACCAGTGCAATTGTCACAGAGGTCCCTGTTTTGTGTCTGTGCTGTATCTATGGAATTAATGCTGTATTCGTCACTCTTGGGAGGTGGGTAGCCAATCTGCGCAGAGACTGATGTCAGTAGGACATAACATGGTAGGTAGGTAGGTAGGCAGTTGTACCACACAAGGACATCACACATGGTAGGTAGGTAGTTGTACCACACCAGGACATCACACATGGTAGGTAGGTAGTTGTACCACACCAGGACATCACACATGGTAGGTTGGTAGTTGTACCACACCAGGACATCACACATGGTAGGTAGGTAGTTGTACCACACCAGGACATCACACATGGTAGGTAGGTAGTTGTACCACACCAGGACATCACTATTGGTAGGTAGGTAGTTGTACCACACAAGGTCATCACACATGGTAGGTAGGTAGTTGTACCACACCAGGACATCACACATGGTAGGTAGGTAGTTGTACCACACCAGGACATCACACATGGTAGGTTGGTAGTTGTACCACACCAGGACATCACTATTGGTAGGTAGGTAGTTGTACCACACCAGGTCATCACACATGGTAGGTAGGTAGTTGTACCACACCAGGACATCACACATGGTAGGTAGGTAGTTGTACCACACCAGGACATCACACATGGTAGGTAGGTAGTTGTACCACACCAGGACATCACACATGGTAGGTTGGTAGTTGTACCACACCAGGACATCACTATTGGTAGGTAGGTAGTTGTACCACACAAGGACATCACACATGGTAGGTAGGTAGTTGTACCACACAAGACATCACACATGGTAGGTAGGTAGTTGTACCACACCAGGACATCACACATGGTAGGTAGGTAGTTGTACCACACAAGGACATCACACATGGTAGGTAGGTAGTTGTACCACACCAGGACATCACACATGGTAGGTAGGTAGTTGTACCACACCAGGACATCACACATGGTAGGTTGGTAGTTGTACCACACAAGGACATCACACATGGTAGGTTGGTAGTTGTACCACACCAGGACATCACACATGGTAGGTAGGTAGTTGTACCACACAAGGACATCACACATGGTAGGTTGGTAGTTGTACCACACAAGGACATCACACATGGTAGGTTGGTAGTTGTACCACACCAGGACATCACACATGGTAGGTTGGTAGTTGTACCACACAAGGACATCACACATGGTAGGTAGGTAGTTGTACCACACAAGGACATCACACATGGTAGGTTGGTAGTTGTACCACACAAGGACATCACACATGGTAGGTTGGTAGTTGTACCACACCAGGACATCACTATTGGTAGGTAGGTAGTTGTACCACACAAGGACATCACACATGGTAGGTAGGTAGTTGTACCACACAAGGACATCACACATGGTAGGTAGGTAGTTGTACCACACCAGGACATCACACATGGTAGGTAGGTAGTTGTACCACACCAGGACATCACACATGGTAGGTTGGTAGTTGTACCACACAAGGACATCACACATGGTAGGTTGGTAGCTGTACCACACCAGGACATCACTATTGGTAGGTAGGTAGTTGTACCACACAAGGACATCACACATGGTAGGTAGGTAGTTGTACCACACCAGGACATCACACATGGTAGGTAAGTAGTTGTACCACACCAGGACATCACTATTGGTAGGTAGGTAGTTGTACCACACAAGTACATCACACATGGTAGGTAGGTAGTTGTACCACACCAGGACATCACACATGGTAGGTAGGTAGTTGTACCACACCAGGACATCACACATGGTAGGTAGGTAGTTGTACCACACCAGGACATCACACATGGTAGGTTGGTAGTTGTACCACACCAGGACATCACTATTGGTAGGTAGGTAGTTGTACCACACAAGGACATCACACATGGTAGGTTGGTAGTTGTACCACACCAGGACATCACTATTGGTAGGTATGTAGTTGTACCACACAAGGACATCACACATGGTAGGTTGGTAGTTGTACCACACCAGGACATCACACATGGTAGGTTGGTAGTTGTACCACACCAGGACATCACACATGGTAGGTAGGTAGTTGTACCACACCAGGACATCACACATGGTAGGTAAGTAGTTGTACCACACCAGGACATCACACATGGTAGGTTGGTAGTTGTACCACACCAGGACATCACACATGGTAGGTTGGTAGTTGTACCACACCAGGACATCACACATGGTAGGTAAGTAGTTGTATCACACAAGACATCACACATGGTAGGTAGGTAGTTGTACCACACCAGGACATCACACATGGTAGGTTGGTAGTTGTACCACACCAGGACATCACACATGGTAGGTTGGTAGTTGTACCACACCAGGACATCACACATGGTAGGTTGGTAGTTGTATCCCACCAGGACATCACAAAAGGTAGGTTGGTAGTTGTACCACACAAGACATCACACAAGGTAGGTTGGTAGTTGTATCACACAAGACATCACACATGGTAGGTTGGTAGTTGTACCACACCAGGACATCACACATGGTAGGTTGGTAGTTGTATCCCACCAGGACATCACACAAGCTATAAACTCCCGGTGACACAAAGTGCCACCATGCAGATGAGGATCACCCATGGATTGGTCCCAGAAACCCCTTTCAGCCATTAGCCCATATCTATGGCTAGGCCATATCTATGCCCAGGTTATATTCAGGGCCCCCGGCAGAAGCCAGGGTTGTGCTTCAAATAACAAAAAATTGCATCCCACATGGGGACGACAAACAGTTCAACATAACATGATGCAATGAAGTCGGTCCTCTTGACATCAGTTTAAACAAAAAATAGTGGTCTTTATATTAAAATGTATCAGTTAAAAATGATCTTTACATTTTCAGACATCAGACGGTTCAATAACACCTGTGACACCTATACCACTGTCTGGTCCACTGCCAGATGTTGTAGAAAAAACCCCAGGGATTCCAAGATTTAGCAGCAATGCTGTACCACCACCAAAACCTCCAAGGCTTTTTTTATTCAGGTTGGAACATATTATTTACTCCACTAATATTCCTCAAGTGAAAGGCCTTGTTTAGGTTAGAACATGTTAGTTACTCTACTATTATTCCTCAAGTGAAAGGCCTTGTTTAGGTTAGAACATGTTATTTACTCCACTATTATTCCTCAAGTGAAAGGCCTTGTTTAGGTTAGAACATGTTAGTTACTCTACTATTATTCCTCAAGTGAAAGGCCTTGTTTAGGTTAGAACATGTTATTTACTCCACTATTATTCCTCAAGTGAAAGGCCTTGTTTAGGTTAGAACATGTTAGTTACTCTACTATTCCTCATGTGACATGCCTTATTTAGGTTAGAACATGTTATTTACTCCACTGATCCTCATGTGACATGCCTTATTTAGGTTAGAACATGTTATTTACTCCACTGATCCTCACATGACTTGCCTTTTTGAGATAAGAACTCAATATTTGTGTGACTTTTCTTATGTATGTTACAACATGTTATTTACTTAACTGCACAATTGTCTGGAGACAGTGGTGCAGCTGGCAGTGACCAGGGAATCTGGCTGGCAATCTACACTCAGAGAAAAGACAAGAAAGATATGTAATGAAACTGGTAATGGTTTCACCATCATTGCAGAAGATAGGCACAAAGCACTGGTGGGAATGTCCTGAGTGTCAGGATGCTGGTTCTGACCTCAGCTCAACTCTGCTCATTAACTCTACTGATTCTCATGACACGTTTCTTGTTTAGTTTAGGACATTAATTTAATGAGTCAGTGTCTGTGTCTTAGATGTTGCTAACACGCTTCATAATGCTGGGGTGCCGGGTTCAATCCTATCTGCAAGGGGATTTGGCAACAGACAGCCTTGTGTTGGTTTTGACAATAATTTGAGAGCTGATTATTCAGGAAGCAGTGGCAGATTGTTGAAACATTGGCCTCGAAAAACCATAACAGCAAAAAAAACGTCAGGTGTTTGTTCTGCAACATTTTGTAAAGGACACACAACTAACTAAATTAATTTCTCTTGACATTTTTCTTATTCACTTTAGGACCTGTAAGAGAGACGGGAGAATTGGATAGATAATACAGTTGCCAGAGAGGAAGTTGAGATAGAGATGAAAGAGTGATACAGTTGATAAATAATGAAAAAGGGGTGGGGGGGGGAGGGGAGGCAGAAAGGCATGTAATTTATTAAGCCAAAGTGAACATGTATCTTCTAGGTTCCTTTGCACGCTAGAATAGAAATAAAAAACAAAGCTGTAAACTTTATTGAACACAATATTAACTGATTGTTTGATAATTTCAGAACGCCATCGAATGGGACAAGATGTTCCACTGACGATGAGAAAGACACTGATCCTGTGTACATCAACAGTGAAAGATTAGTTGAACTAAAGTCCCACAGACACCACCCAACTCTGAATTGCTCCCGACCTGATGGAAATGCCATCTTCAGTGACTGCCTGAAAAATGTAACAAATCTTGACATTGGCCAGAGCAAAAATCTGGTGGAACAAATTTCTATGAACAATTTAATGATAAAGGGGGATAATAATGTAAGAGGCATTACATTTAAAGAACCGCCTGTTGTTACTTTTCAGTTGAACTCATCAGAAATGCAGTCAGATAATGTAAAACATCTACCACAGACAAATCATCTGAACACTGTAGCTCGGAAACCAAAAATAAAAACCCCAGAACTGAACTCCAAAAGAGCAGGACGATCTCGTCGACGTTCGCATGATAAAGGAGAGATGACCCGGCAGAAACACATCATGAACAGCGTCTCTGAGCTTCTTCGACAAAGATTAGACCCTTATCCCTTATTAGATCAACTGAAAAGGGCAGGCATTTTAACTAACATGGATGTCCAGTCCTTCCTCGGATACCATGATCGCAAGTCTATCTGTGAAAGCATTGTGGACTTGGTAGGGGCTGCAACTCCGGATGTGCTTCCTGTTTTCTGTGATGTTCTTTCATCTGCAGGAAACAGCACAGAAATACTGGAGGTGACTATCTGAACATCCTTTGTTAATTTATGGACCTTGAATTGTGTCATGTATGTGGTATGGTTTTCTCAAGTGAAGGAGCTGCATTAATGAAATGTAATGACCAGGTCACGTTCTATATCTATCCTCTTCATGTCGCTGTTGACACACAAGGCATCCATTGCTGCTGGTCTGCTGCTTTTCTGTCCATGGTATCCCATGTCAGTTTACATTTCTTCATTTCCCATTCTATTGTCCTTCTCCAGGTTTCCTTAGGTTGTCCACATCTCTTTTTCCATCTGCTGTCCACCGGAGAGCAGCAGTTTTTGCCAGAGTGTCCAAGCCATCTCTATCTTCTTACTCTGATAACATTTGCCAGTGATGCACTTTCTGTTTTCCTCCTCAGTTCTTCATTTGTGATCTTGTTTGGTCAAAATTTTCGTAGAATTCTCCTTAAACAAACATTTATTCTGAAAAGTTTCAAGTTTATGTGTAATTCCCGCTGTCATTTTCCAACATTCACTGTTGTACAAGGTATTCCTAAAATGTTGCTCTTGTATATTCTTAGTTTTGTCTTTAAACTAAATCCCTTTGACTTCCATATATTGTTAAGCATGGCAAATGCTTGATTTGCTTTGTTTATTCTTGATGTTACATCCTTTTCAGAATCTCCATCTGGAGTAACTTTACTTCCGAGGTATATAAATTCTTAAACTTCATCTATTGCTTTAATCAATTAAGATAACTGGATTTTCTGTTTGGTAATTATTTCTCAGTACTTTAGTTGTACTGGTGTTTTTTTAAAACTCCCACCTCAAGGGCTGTTGAAAGTCTTTCTGTCTTTTCCTGAGCATCCCGATGATGATGGCTTGATATATAGGGCAGATGTCATCTGCATAATCCAAATCCTCTCAAACAGAGGTGAGTGACCACCTGATGCCTCTTTTACTATCTCGTGTAACTACCTTCATCAGCCAGTCAACGGCCAAATTGAACAAAAAGGGGGATAGTATGCATCCATGTCTGACACCTATGTCGACAAAGAAACTTTCTGTTGTATAATTATCACAAACTACCTTGCATTGAAACTCTAAGTAAAGGCTTTGATCCAATTTACTATTTTCTGTGGGACACCATGGTGATGCAAAATCTTCCATAGTGATTCTTTGTGCAGGCTATCAAAGGCTTTTTCAAAACCACAAAGATCATATAAACTGCACTATTCCATTCGTTACTTTGTTCAGTTATTTGACGCATCATGAAGATGTGATCAGTGTATTGATCACAGGTCACTTTACTTCCCAGAAAAATTCCGAGGAATGATCGTGTACCAGAGAGTTCTCATGTCTCTGTTAGTACCGTTCATTGGCACAAATGTTAGTTGCAGGCTCTGATTGTGAGAGAGGATCAAGAACAGACCTGCTGCTGCTGCTCTTAGTCAAAGGCAACTAATTAAGCCATTGCTGAAATTGCATATGTCAGGTTGAAAGGCGCAGATATCACAGCCTAGCTGTCAACAACAGTGTGGAAACTACCCTTTAAGAGTGAATATAGAAAAAGAATAAAAACAGGTTATTGTTTAGATGTTTTAGTCAGTTAGGTTTCTCATTAGGGTTACTGAGGTTTCTCATTAGCGTTACTGAGGTTTCTCATTAGCATTACTGAGGTTTCTCATTAGCGTTACTGAGGTTTCTCATTAGCATTACTGAGGTTTCTCATTAGCGTTACTGAGGTTTCTCATTAGCGTTACTGAGGTTTCTCATTAGCGTTACTGAGCGTTTCTCATTAGTTACTCTCATTAGCGTTACTGAGGTTTCTCATTAGCGTTACTGAGGTTTCTCATTAGCGTTACTGAGGTTTCTCATTAGCGTTACTGAGGTTTCTCATTAGCGTTACTGAGGTTTCTCATTAGCGTTACTGAGGTTTCTCTCATTAGGGTTACTGAGGTTTCTCATTAGCGTTACTGAGGTTTCTCATTAGCGTTACTGAGGTTTCTCATTAGCGTTACTGAGGTTTCTCATTAGCGTTACTGAGGTTTCTCATTAGCGTTACTGAGGTTTCTCATTAGCGTTACTGAGGTTTCTCATTAGCGTTACTGAGGTTTCTCATTAGGGTTACTGAGGTTTCTCATTAGCGTTACTGAGGTTTCTCATTAGCGTTACTGAGGTTTCTCATTAGCGTTACTGAGGTTTCTCATTAACGTTACTGAGGTTTCTCATTAGGGTTACTGAGGTTTCTCATTAGGGTTACTGAGGTTTCTCATTAGCGTTACTGAGGTTTCTCATTAGCGTTACTGAGGTTTCTCATTAGCGTTACTGAGGTTTCTCATTAGCGTTACTGAGGTTTCTCATTAGCGTTACTGAGGTTTCTCATTAGCGTTACTGAGGTTTCTCATCAGCGTTACTGAGGTTTCTCATCAGCGTTACTGAGGTTTCTCATCAGCGTAACTGAGGTTTCTCATTAGCGTTACTGAGGTTTCTCATTAGCGTTACTGAGGTTTCTCATTAGCGTTACTGAGGTTTCTCATTAGCGTTACTGAGGTTTCTCATTAGCGTTACTGAGGTTTCTCATTAGCGTTACTGAGGTTTCTCATTAGCGTTACTGAGGTTTCTCATTAGCGTTACTGAGTTTTCTCATTAGCGTTACTGAGGTTTCTCATTAGCGTTACTGAGGTTTCTCATTAGCGTTACTGAGGTTTCTCATTAGCGTTACTGAGGTTTCTCATTAGCGTTACTGAGGTTTCTCATTAGCGTTACTGAGGTTTCTCATTAGCGTTACTGAGGTTTCTCATTAGCGTTACTGAGGTTTCTCATTAGCGTTACTGAGGTTTCTCATTAGCGTTACTGAGGTTTCTCATTAGCGTTACTGAGGATTGCCTGCAATACGTTGATGAAAGTATAATGTTACACAGAATGAGAGAATATTAGTAACCAAGGAAATTAGAAGTCTAAGAAAGACTGCAGGAGTGACCAGAGGAGATATACTCGGAATAAAGGCATGAGAGAACAAAATCAGCACAGAATCTTGGCTAAATTACCCACAAAGATTTCCTGTGTGGGTTCCTGGGCCCCATTGAGGGGTAGAAAAGAATGGACCCACTTCCTCTCTAACTGGCATGTCATAAAAGTTGACTAATTAAGGGTTTTGTTTGAGTGAATCTGCCAGGCAAGGAACCAGCAGTCTGCATACAAATAAGCCAGATCTGTAAAATGGATGCATATGCGTTCTGGAATAAGACTGAAATTCAGAAGTGGATGATCACCATAACTTTCCATCAGAGTTTACAGCCAGGAAACACGGAAGAAGAAGACATACAAAGAGAGCAAATACAAAAGTTTTCTCACTTAGAGAGAAGGCTGTATGATGCCTTACCATACAAGGCATCCACTAAAACAGGAGATCAGCCCAGAGCATGATGTAGACCAAGAATAAGGTGGACAGATAACATCCAAGGTGCTCATTATAGTTCAGTGAGTGTAGTGTCTAAGTAAGGTTGCACCCCCCCCCCCCCCCCCCACCCCTCTGTCTCTCTCTGTCTCTGTAAGACTGTCTGTTTCTCTCTCCCTCTCTTTCTCTCTCTCTCTCTCTCTCTCTCTCTCTCTCTCTCTCTCTCTCTCTCTCTCTCTCTCTCTCTCTCTCTCTCTCTCTCTCTCTCTCTCTCTCTCTTTCTCTCTCTCTCTCTCTCTCTCTCTCTCTCTTTCTACTATAGCACAAATATTTCAGTTACTTTCTGCAAACACAGAAACATTTAAGATGCTAGTTGGCATTAACAAATCTGGCTCCTCCGGATCTAGAAGTGCCATATTTGTGAAAATGCTGAATTTGTTATGGCTACTTAGGCGGTGTATATTTGACAGAAAATATTTACCTGTACAGTCCTTTAAAGAAAGAAATTAGTGCACAGAGTTTATGTTTGACACCATCTCATTTCTATCACATGAGAAGGAATAAGCAGGAAGCTGGACCCAGCAGCTGATTCAGCTGTATCAAAACATAAACATCATCTCCAGAAAACATGGAGTGGCATGCCACCGTAGTGAATTTGAAAATGCACACTAGAATCTGTGCTGGAAATCTGAAGGAACTAGATTATCAATGTCTGGTTTTTTCAATGTCAAGCTGTACTAAAAAAGAAACAAACTACGATAACACAAGTGAAGAAAAAACTGTAATGATGTTCTTGTGTGTTCAGCCCTTATGATATTCAGTGTAGCTTTTCCATGTTTCTATAATGGCTTCATTAATGGGTATAAATGATGTCATTTCTCTGAACAGGTTCTTCATGTGGTGAGAGAAATCGACAGAATTATCTATGATGTCTCATTCAACAATAACAACGACAACCCCATTCTGGATGATGAGAAGAACCTCAACTATGATATTGGTTACCTGGCACCCGACTATTCTCTGAAACCTTTGGTGGAGCTGGAGAGAGTTCGAGCCAGTGGAGATAAACGCCTGAGCAAAGCATCTTGTCGGAACTCTGCATACTCACTGTTGGAAGGCGGTGACAGTGAGTCGTGCAACCATGGTGACAGCGGGGTGTTTCCGGGACTAATTATGATGAGTATTTGTGTCACGGGTCACAGTTTATCTGGGCAGAGGGCTGAAGCTTTAGCAAGCCTAATTAGGAACCATAACTGTATATGTGAGCTTCGTATGGGCAAAACACAGCTGTGTGGGGACGATATCAGCATTATTGCTAAGGCTCTAGAAGAGAACCGGACAATTCATTCCTTAGATGTACGCCTTAATCACATTGGAGAGAAAGGCGCTGTCGCCGTGGCTGACCTTTTATTAAAAACAAAGTCCCTGAGACTGCTGAATCTTTCTTCCACCAACATGGACCTACAGAGTATTCAAAACATTGTGTGTGCCACTGCAGCTAATAAGTGTTTGACTGATCTAGATCTCAGCTTTCTGGATGTCGGGGATGAGTGCTCAGAGTGCTTGCGGGACATGCTTCGGGCTAATTCCAATCTTCAGAAGCTTCGGTTGAGAAGCAACAACTTGACCTGGTCCGGTTGTTACGTGATTGCTGAAGGTCTGTCTCGCAACTTGTGCCTCAACGTGTTAGATTTGAGCAGGAACACTGTAGGAGATGAGGGTGTTCAGGTAAGTGGATTCCATGCATGTACTTGTTAGATAAAGTTATAGTTGCTTGGAGGTTATTTACTTCACTTGCCAAAACTAGTCGTAGTTCAATCCCCAGAGATGGCTTGAACTTTTTATGACAAGTTCTGTGCCTCAAAAATAAGACCCAGCATGCTTTGTCAGGATGCTTCTTATGTAAGCCATACCCTAAATATAAGCTCTAGTGAAGCTCATTAGCCAGATTTCATTCATCCACTGAAACACTAAATTATAAAATAATAAAGGTATACATATTTGAATAAATCTAGATTTTTGTGCTTGAATAAATATAAATTTATGTGCAAGAAATATGTGATTTCCCAGACAATAAACCCCAAGACAGGCATTCTTTTAAGAAGAGTGTAATATAAGACCTGGACTAATTTTCTTGGAAAACTGGTACATCTCTGAGGTTGATCTAGTCTTATAAACATAATGTTTAGAAGGAAAGGCATTGAAGAACTGGCCATCCCAGCCAGGTGTTCTGTGTGTACAATAGTGGGTCGCAGTCAGCTGATCTCTGTACCCCTCATATGTTCAAAGGATAGTCAGCATGAAGAACTTATAATTTATAAATATTAGAACTGGAAAAAAAGGATTGCATTCTAAAGTTGGGTTTTTGTTGTACCACGGACCCTTACATTTGTTCTGTGGATGCCCAGAAGTCCCAGGACCACCAAAAAGCAAAGACTTGATGTGGTATTTGCCAAGGGACAACTTTGGCTTATTTCTAGTTTACATTGCCAACAAAAAATGTTGATACAATAGATGTGCACAGTGTTGTAACCTTGACAAGAAACACAATCATGTACAAGAAATAGCACAAATGTGAGTTAGCTTTCATTCATGTATCACTTTTGGTTTTTGGTATTGTAGCTTTCCTGGCAAATGCCAGGGAAGTTTTTCTGGGCTTTAAAGGATTTTTGCCTTAGCCATGGCCACATGGGATTAGACAAAACAGCTATAGCCTACTGAGATTCTAATTGATTCAGCAATGTTTTAGGCAGGCAGAATGATATCTGAGACACTTTGTCAGTGCCAGTTTGATTACAATACATATAATGTACACAAATAGTACTTATTGAAGACATTACACATGGGTGCAGACATACACTCAAAAACTAGGCCAATAACACAACAGATAGATACAAGGCTATAATCAGTACAAAACCTATCTGACTTGGCCAGAGATATGAGCACTGCTTTTTTCACAGTGATGAAGATGGCCTTTGAACCGAAATAGTCAGTCAGCAAATCTCTGATAAGGAAATCAGTTTCTCCCAATGCTGCCACAACTGATAAAGCTGGCATATTAGCTCCAAGTGTGAGACCATTTCTGACATGGGTATCAGTATACATTTTCTGTAGTAAACAAAGGAGCCTTTTCATTGCCGCTCGTGTGTGTGTGCGTGCGTGCGTGCGTGCGTACGTCCCCCCAAGGTAGTTTCCAGGATGTTCCACAGTAGCCAGTTTAGGCTTGGTTGACCAAGGGGTCATAGGTCAATTATGAACACTCTCCCAGTGCAGATTTGAACCCAAGATTTGCAGTTGAGCAAGCAAATGGCTTTACCATTTCTCCGATGGACAGTAGATTGATTGTTTTACAGATCAATACCAGGGTAAAACGGGATGAGCTAATGAGAAGTGACATGGTCTCTAAATAATCCCCTGTTGAGCGAGGGAGCCCAAAACAGTGACTACATGTGGCTACCACTGATGAGATTAGGAATTCAGTTCTGCCGAGCAGAAAAGAGTGTGGTGGAGGATGAAGCTGAGGTGTTCGCAACCAACTGGCTGCTAGAACTTGAAACATTTAAAGTCAAGAGAATTGAGAGGATTGACTTTATTGTGCCAGATTGGATCCCATATGGCTTGGCCCCCCTCCACAGGATGGGCTGGCCACCTGCTGAGAGCATTACGCAAAGCATGAATATTTTCAGTGACGAGCCCCAGGGATTTCTATAAAAATTGCACTCATGAACTAAATGATGCAGTCTGGAAATTAATGGCCTTTAAAGTGCAAGGCAAACGGTTTAATTCCAGAGACCCCCACTTGCTGGAGCTTTTACTTTCCATACTCTTGGTCCTCTTATGAGGAAGATGAAGTACATTAGTTCTGAATATTATGACAGTATAGAATGAGAGCTTTGACAGTGACTTATACATTCTTATCTTTACTTTGTATTTTAACTTTCACTTTTCATCTCGGATAACAGTTTCTGACAGTGTCTTATACATTCTTATATATTTAGTTCCTTGATGTAAATGTGTGTGTCTCCTTCTGTAGGCTCTAGCCAAGTTCCTGCCAGAATCAAGTGTGACAGAAGTGTCTCTGGAGAACTGTGGGATCACCTCTGCAGGATGTGATGCTTTAGCTGACCTGCTGACTCACTGTAAGAGACTGAAACACTTGGACATCAGCACCAACATCTTGCTGGATGCAGGGATTTGCAAGTTGGCCAAAGCTTTAGAGCGGACCTCCTCTTTACAGGTAGAACTGCTGGCATGGATATTAGTGATCAATTTTGTAACGATTAGTTATCATGACAGCTGCAAAAGCCTGCCATCATCATCATCATCATCATGTGCCATGCTGTTAAATGTTGGTACATTATTTCATACAGAAGAGACATTTTTCACCCGCTGAGCATATGGTGCTAGACCCATATCTTAATAGACTGGTCAGCACTTGTTGGGTGAGGTTTTAAACTGCTTTGCTGGCTTTCTAGTCTTCCCATAACACTTCCTGGTACCCTTTTTTAGGCTGGGTCAACCCAAGAGCCCTAGGTCAGTTATAAAAGTCAGCCCTGATGTAGATTGGAACCCCAGACCTTCAGGCCAGCGGATCAGAGTTAAGGCACAGGGTTACCATGGCACACCATTTCATATGTCCAGTCTCAGATCGTGTCTCAGTAGTGATGTGTTTTCTGAAATGAATGCTGCAAGTAGTGTGGACAGTCAGAGTAACTAACAGTTTCAGTGATTAACTAAAGGAAAACAGCTGTTGAAAGTAGAACATTATACTCTGCTTTGAGAAAGCAACACTGTGTTTTGTAAATGTAACGAGAAGAGCGGCATTGGAGAACATCGTTACAACTAGAAAGGTCAGCAGTAAAAGAGACAATAAAAATAGAACAAGAGAAAGTCTTATTCTTTATCGACCATCCAGTCAAGGTAATTGCCTTGTGTCTGTTTACAGAATAGCTATTCCCTGGCACATCTGATTTTATTGTGTTTTTGTTGTCCAGGTTAGCCCTCTGTGCTAGTTGCATGAGAGATTGAAAAGACTTCTTGTTATGTTGTCATTTTTAAAAATCTAGTCTACAGGTGGTGCCCGTCTACAGGTGGTGCCCGTCTACAGGTGGTGCCCGTCTACAGGTGGTGCCCGTCTACAGGTGGTGCCCTCAGTGGACCAATCCAGCTGCCTGCAAACTAGTCAGCATTCAGTGAAAGGCAGAGGCATTCTGTCAGCACCCATGGATGCTTCCATTATTGAAGAGTCAGTAGATAGCCCTCTAGTAAAGGGCTAACCCCTGGAATCATCACTTCTTGCACCTGAGACCTTTATGGTCAATAGATAGCCCTCTAGTAAAGGGCTAACCCCTGGAATCATCACTTCTTGCACCTGAGACCTTTATGGTCAATAGATAGCCCTCTAGTAAAGGGCTAACCCTGGAATCATCACTTCTTGCACCTGAGACCTTTATGGTCAATAGATAGCCCTCTAGTAAAGGGCTAACCCCTGGAATCATCACTTCTTGCACCTGAGACCTTTATGGTCAATAGATAGCCCTCTAGTAAAGGGCTAACCCCTGGAATCATCACTTCTTGCACCTGAGGCCTTTATGGTCAATAGATAGCCCTCTAGTAGAGGGCTAACCCCTGGAATCATCTTTTCTTGCACCTGAGACCTTTATGGTCAATAGATGGCCCTCTAGTAGAGGGCTAACCCCTGGAATCATCACTTCTTGCACCTGAGACCTTTATGGTCAATAGATAGCCCTCTAGTAAAGGGCTAACCCCTGGAATCATCACTTCTTGCACCTGAGACCTTTATGGTCAATAGATAGCCCTCCAGTAAAGGGCTAACCCCTGGAATCATCACTTCTTGCACCTGAGACCTTTATGGTCAATAGATGGCCCTCTAGTAAAGGGCTAACCCCTGGAATCATCACTTCTTGCACCTGAGACCTTTATGGTCAGTAGATAGCCCTCTAGTAGAGGGCTAACCCCTGGAATCATCACTTCTTGCACCTGAGACCTTTATGACCTTCACAAAATGAAATTTTGCTTCTTCTGGATGTTTGACTTTTCGTATAGACATTTGAGGAATATCCATAGAATTGATCCAAAACACAAAGGACCACAATTTTTAGAGAGTCATAAATGCTTATGTCTGTCTTCTAGCAAGGCAGATATTGATGATTAGCCTCAAATCAAGTGTTTTCTTTCCTATGATGCCATTTAGTTGTGCCATTCCTAGTACATCATCATCATCATCATGTAGCAGGTCCTTCATTACTCTCACCAGCTCTACCAGCTCATGCACTTTCAGATCAAAAGAGTCACTTATATCCTGTGCCCATCTTTATGTTGGTCAGCCCCTGCCCCTCCTTCCTGGTTACATAGCAGGAAAAAATGTGTTTGAAACATATTACAGTTCAGCTTTAAGCTAGAGACGATATTCAGTGATGACAGTCCCTATTTTAATATAAATTCACTGATAGAAATGTAACCTTACTATTTTTTCAGAATCTTGGCTTGAACATGTGTGGCATTACCAATGATGGCTTCTCCATTCTTCTAGACGTTTTGGAGAAGAACACATCCATTATTCACATGAAACTGTGCTACAATAGACTCGGCAGGGAGCACTCCATTCCTTCTGCTAATTCTGATGACCTGAGGTTTGTGAGATAGGACTAAGAAAAAAACCTTTACCCTTTTAGGTTCTGCTTGAAGTACATTATTATCATCATCATGTGCCATGAGAAATGCTGTGGATCAGTGTTTTTTGTCTGGTTGTCTGTGGGCCCTTGTTAAGGGGTCGATGATATTATCACAATAAACAGCAGTAACATAAAGAGAGAGAACTCACTCAAATAGTTAGGAATCATTTTGACAGGAGTCGGTCTTTAAAATACTATTTGGAAGAGGTAGTTGTACAGATAGTGAAAGGACTCAGTGCTTTGGAGGTGGTAGTGTCTGTTGATATGGAACAGAAAGTGCTCTGTACACTCTACCAGCAACTGAAGAGCTCTGTACACTCTACCAGCAACTGAAGGGCTCTGTAAACTCTACCAGCAACTGGAGGACTCTGTACACTCTACCAGCAACTGAAGGGCTCTGTACACTCTACCAGCAACTGAAGAGCTCTGTACACTCTACCAGCAACTGAAGAGCTCTGTACACTCTTCCAGCAACTGAAGAGCTCTGTACACTCTACCAGCAACTGAAGAGCTCTGTACACTCTACCAGCAACTGGAGGACTCTGTACACTCTACCAGCAACTTAAGGGCTCTGTACACTCTACCAGCAACTGAAGAGCTCTGTACACTCTACCAGCAACTGAAGAGCTCTGTACACTCTACCAGCAACTGAAGGGCTCTGTACACTCTACCAGCAACTGAAGGGCTCTGTACACTCTACCAGCAACTGAAGGGCTCTGTACACTCTACCAGCAACTGGAGGACTCTGTACACTCTACCAGCAACTGAAGGGCTCTGTACACTCTACCAGCAACTGAAGAGCTCTGTACACTCTACCAGCAACTGAAGAGCTCAGTACACTCTACCAGCAACTGAAGAGCTCTGTACACTCTACCAGCAACTGAAATATATATGAAAGATACAAGGTGTTACAAGCGAAAATATACATCAAAGTTGCAGAGGACAGGAAACCTTCTGCATGAGGCTTTAGGGAAGAGCAAAGGAAATTGGCTGACAAGAGCTGGCTCTTGGATGGCGCAAGCAGAAGTGACTATAAAAATGTTTATACTAATGATAAAATAGCACATGGTGAGGAATGGACCAGAGTGTGGTCCAGCAAAACAGCCTTGCATCTAGTGATGCTTACTTTACACTGAGGATATCAGGAATGTGTATTTGGGGAAGCAGAATCAGCGGTGCAAGAGCTGACCAGTGAAAATTAATGCCCAGGGACATTTTATATACAGATGGGTCAGTAGTGAGAGGTAAGAAGAGTGGGTTAGTGGGTTTGGTTTTATTGCAAAGGTGAATGGACACTGCTTGATAACAGAGAACCTCACTTGCAATACTGTTACATCCATTATCAGAATTGACATGGCGACGGTAAAGGCAGCTTTCCGATGGCTTGAGGGCAGCACGGCCTGACCTGTCATTGTAACTCGGGGAAGGCTATAAATATGCTAATAACGTTTGGTAGATTGAAAAAACACCAGTAGTAAATCAGGCAGTTGATATTGGGTGTTGTGGATATTTTTAAAATTTTTTTTTATTTCAGTTAAAAGGAGTTAATTTCCTTTGATTTGATCTGATATGTTACTGCTGTGTGCATCTAATTAGATACAGTAAAGGAAGTCAGACATTAAATAATGCAAGTTGTTGTTTATGTTTTCTTTGTTCAGATACATGATCATTTTTTTTTTAAAAGTGAAATGGTTAAAGGCTTTATCCCATATGGCTCGGTCTCTGTTCGCAGAATGTTAGCTGTGTGTCAAAATCATCTCAAAAGCACAAACACCATAGCTGCCATGACAACCCCCAGGGATCTCAATAATTTTACTCCAAAACCGAACACCGAGATTGTAAAATGAAGCGTGAAGCAAATGGCTAGAACACTTCGCCATGTAGACAGTATGTGAATCTGCTTCATTAACCCTTTCATTTTTAATAAGACAGTGGAGAGATAATATGCAGACAGACTTACAAATGCTTGGAGTTGCTAGTTGCAAAAAGCAGGCCAATCACAGAGTTGGATGCAAACCAGTGATATCTACAGCCATGATCCTTAATGGCTTGGAATGCTGAAGAAGAAGAAGAAAAAAAAGAAAATGTGATCACTTTTGATAATAGTGTGTTAGTTAAGCTATTTCATTGATCAAACTGTGATGTAAGCACTGTATTTGTTTTCTCTCTTTAGGTACCGTCTTCGTATAGTGACATCCTCCAAGCCAAAGCTGAAAATACTACTCTGGGGAAACACGTTTGAGGAGCCTTAGAGACCTGTACTGTGTCACTGCAGTGTCACAGCAACATTGACTGCATTGAGCTGTTGACATCTGCAAGAGTGGACTGTACTATCTACTTGTGATTTCAGCATTGAGAACTTGTTTCATTTAGGTGCTTTGTTCTTCTTCATACTCTTGGAACATCCTCTACTTCTGCTTTTACCTTTAAAGAGATGCTGTGTTGTGGTTTACAGCTGGGAGGTGATATCTGTGCACTTTGGCCTGGCACATCCAATTTCAGCAGAACCGTAAATAATCACCTCTTATGACATGCTTGTTAAGGGGTAGTGTGTCTGCCCCCTTCCCACCCCACCCATAAATGATGTCCCATACCCTCACAGACAGAGACTTTCAACATCAGCTTGATAGACAGAAGCAACAACCAACAAAGTTGTTGATATTTCCCTAGTTTGTCTTCACAGGCTGCTGTGAGCCAGAATAATTACCTCTGGAGAGCACAAGTTGGATACTCTTCTGGGAAATGTTGGAATTTGGCCAATTCCATAGTTACATCCATCATTATTTCATATCTTTTCAAACAGATGCTATATTAGCCTGTTCACTGCTTGTAGTAATAATTCAGTCCAGATGGAGTTGGTAGTATGCACCATTCTTCTGGTGGTCTGGATGCTGTTACAAGTTTCTCAGATTCACCATGGATTATGTCTGTACCATGGATTATGTCTGTACCGTGGATTTTGTCTGTACCATGACTTTATGGATCTCATTATTCAAATCATTGCATCATCATCATCCTGTTTTGCCATTAAACATCACAAAGGGGCTTGCAGTCTGGGTCCTAGTGCTCACTGTCTTGTCCTCCATTCTATTCTACCATGTGCAGTTCTTTCAGTATCTTGGATGGAATCCAGTCCAGCACCTTTGACCCCTCTCAACAATGCTAGTCTTCATTTCTTATTTGTTTCCCATTTCAATGCCTGCTTAGCAATTCTCTCTCCACTTCTCAGGATGAGCGCTTTATATTGTCAGCTCTTCATTTTCTTATCATTCTTCTTATCACTGTTCTTATCAGTGGTTATCCAGATATGTCTGCAGTCGTGGCTGTTGTTTGTTTTAGAGATCACATAAAGTTCTCACATGATGTTTAAGAGATCACATGAAGTTCTCACATGATATTTTAGAGATCACATGAAGTTCTCACATGATGTTTTAGAGATCACATACAGTTCTCACATGATGTTTTAGAGATCACATGAAGTTCTCACATGATGTTTTAAAGTTGTGCTGTATGCTGCTTGTGTTGAAATGTGTTGTGTGTTCAGTTTTTGGCTGCAGTTGCCTGGTTGGTCAGCTTTATACTGGAAGAATGAGATTTTGCTGGGAGGAAAGACATTTAGGAAGGAAGTGTCAACCTCACATTTTGTCAGTTCACCTTCTTGTATAAATACACATAAGAGTGCAACTGAGACAACACAACAGGCCTTGGACGACAAGCTTAGGCTATGACACACTCTGCTGATTAACCCTTTAACCCAGGGGGAAAACTACAAAATAGGTCATGACCCTGTTAAAATTCCAGAAACATCTGTTGAAAGAATTTTTTTTTTTACACAGGCCACTAACAAATTTGTTAAAATTTATTTATTGAAATCTATATTGTTTTTTCCTCCAGATAAATTAAAAGAATAATCAATAAACCTAAAAAATGGGCCAAGCAGTAAATGGCATACATCACCCAGGGCCTAACAAAAAATACATATACTGTTTGACTCATACTGTGACCTTCTGACCTCAATCACTGAACCTTACAGGGAAAACTTTGACATCAGCCTGGCTTAAATCCCCTCCCCGCACCCCAACCCAAATGCCATTGTTAGTTAATGTGGTAAATTTTACGCTGGTCTCCCCATTTACACACCGCTACACACTAGCTCACTTCTGATTGGACAACCTACAGACCACCTCACTTCTGACAGGTCGGCCTCAAGCAGTCAGACTTTCACACAAGGTCAGGGGGATATTCCTCACTCTCGCTGATACCGCGTGTTGTATACTTCACCATGCCAGAGCTTTTAACACTTCTAAAACATTTAGATACTGGGTCTAACACACAACCCCCCTAGAGAGTGACAAAACCTATGTCACAGGCTGCCTCTTTCTTGGAAATCAAAACGTAAATGCCAGACAACAACAGACTGTGACACCCATAACCTCGACCACGGTAGACTAGTCCAACCAACTTATCAATGGAGCTGACCTACAACCGGTGTGTGTAAATGGAGAGACCATCATATAAATAACCGTTAATGTATATCCTGACACACACACAAATCCTAAAAGGATTAAAGGAAAAAAAGGGGGGGGGGGGGGAGGGGAAAACAGCCAAACGCATTAAGTATGGATCTTGTAAACAATATCTTGAGGCCTTGGAGATGTGGTTTTACAGAAGAATCCTTAGACATTCCTTGGAGATGTGGTTTTACAGAAGAATCCTTAGACATTCCTTGGAGATGTGGTTTTACAGAAGAATCCTTAGAAATTCCTTGGACAGCTGAAACAAAGAAACCCAAATGTTTTGAAATAGGCCAGTGCTCAGGGACAGCTTATCACAAACCAGGAAGAGACATAATTTTTTAGTCATGTTATGAGAAGAGGGAAACTGGAATATGTTGTGATAACTGGAAAGATCTGTGGAAAGAGACAGAGGAAGACAACGTGAGAAGATTCTTGACAGTCTTTTGTCATGGCATGGAGGGGTGTCAGCCCACGAACTGATACACGCAGCTGCGTATCGCAGATTGTGGAGACCCATGATCACCTATGCCAGTCAGCAAGTCACTTGATGATGATAGACATGCCAGAAGAGTTACAGTTATGGAGAATTGCAGCCAGTCAGAATTTTCGGCTTCTCAGGGCAAAAGGGTTAATAGCAGTTATGGAGAATTGCACCCAGTCAGAATTTTCGGCTTCTCAGGGCAAAAGTTTTAATAGCAGTTATGGATTAGAAAAAGAGACATCAATCAAGCTGGAACTACACAGTAGAATACCCATGATGTGTACTTGGTACTGACTCATTTGTCAAGTATCTTACATTTGATATAAAAGAGGCTGTGTTTTTTTTTAAGTAACAAATATTCTCTACTGATAATAGTAGTATTGTATTATAAAGAGTGTGTATTCAATGTCAATATTGTTCTTATTCATCGTGTTTGTAAATATACTTAACATAAATTGCATTTGAAACTGTCTCACAGTGTTCTCTTTGGAGTTTGAGTTTTACTTTGATTCGTTCATCTCTGTAACCAATTTGAAGTGAGACTAACCCACTTTGCCTAAAGTGATGTATTATAATTGATCTGCTGGTCCTGTACACAGTACTGCACATGCATAGACTTGCATTTTAATGTTTGATCATGTTTGTGAAATAACTAGAACATTGCAACACCATTTTAAAATGTACATAACATTTGTGAACACTTTGGTGTTTGGGAAATGTTAACTGTTTAATCGACGATGAGTTGATGACATTTAGCTTGACCTGTAGAGATCACTGGTTCCATATTATTTTAAAACTCATAGACTTCTTGTATTTTCAGAGATCTGCCATGGACACCACACTTTTATTAAGTCGCACTGAAGAAATTAGTATAATTTATAAAAAGTAGAACTTCATCGAAGATTGTGTTCAGAAGTTGATATTTTTGTGTATGTACTTGGAGCCTTTAAATTTGTTCTGCAGATCCACGGGTTCTGCAGAACACCAAATGGGAAACATGCGTGTTGAATTCTTGAAGGGAGACAATCCAAAGCAACTCTATCCCACGATCCTGGGATGATGACCCCCCTGCTGACAGCGTAAGATACATCTGTGCTAAGTGAAGACAGTTCTGGATTGGTGACAACATGCTTCGACATTTGGGTTTATCTGAGAGGCAAATAATCATGAATATCTGCCAGAGTGCAGATTTGAAGTCAGTAAATTTGGGCCAGCGAGCAATCATCTAGCCCTGCCTCACAAGTTTATGTCTTTAAATAAATTCTTTGACATCATCACACAGCACTGAACACTTGTCTCAGAATCAGAAGGTAACAATCCTGGGACTTCTCATGGCATCTTATTGCATTTTTTTTTAGCAAACTGTTTGTTCTGAATAATTTAACAAACTTTACAACACTTTTTATTTTGTGGTGGTCAACGTGGCACATTCCATCTAGTTTTGGATACATTTGATGTATGTTCGTCTATTCTGGAAACTCTGTCGCCGTGACATGATACTGTGGTTTAAGTTTAATAAAGCATCCTGCCGATAGCCTGTGGAAATGCTATTACTGCATCTGATGCATGTATGTAAATTTGTGGGTGGACCATGACTATGGTACAGATCTCGTTGCATCTTAATATAATATGCTGCTGGCAAATGGCAAGTGTGTATATAACTAGAATGCCTTTGCACTGGAAACAACAGGGGCAAAGAAAGAAAGGAAGACCAAAAACCACATGAAAAAGGGAGCAAGAGAGTGAAGTTAAAAAGATAGGGAGAGCTGCATGCGATATGAAGGGTAGAACAACTTGGTGTGAGTTGGTTGAGGGCCTATGCTCCATTGTGGGAGACAATTTGAGTGCCCCATTGTAACTTGTTTTGAGTTCAACAGGGTTCCTGGGATTTGCTCTGGTTGTCTGCCATCCAGACTGAGATTTTGTTATCTCAGGGTGGTCAAGCTTTCAGGTAGCAGCCCGGAGAGGAAGAATGGAATGAAGAAGCAGACCTGGTTCATCTCACAGACATCAGAACAACAATGGTATGAAAGAAAGAGAGGGGGAAACTTTTTCTTTTTCCTCCACCTTTTTCCCTTCTACTTATTTTTTGGTACAATTTATGACAGTCACTCCATCTTGTCAGCCACGTGATTTCATAGGGGATTTTCCAGGACACTCCTATAGTCTAGGGGTGTCATGTGTTCTTCATTTTTACCGTTTCAAGCACATCCACCACCGACCACAGCTAATGCCAGTGAGCATACAAAATTAA